GAGCGTCCAGGGTTGAAAATAAAACAAGGACAAGACCTGAGGTATGAAAGTCTGTCATATGTGTTCAAATGGGGCTAGGGAGTGGTGATTATTCTGGACTTTTATTGTCTGTGTAATATAGGTTTTTTTTCTGTATGTATCTAAATAACTCCCTTTTGGGAGGGTAAAAAAGGGTTTGATAACATTTGCTGAGTTTAGTTTACGAAGTAGCATAATTTTAAAGCATAAACAACAGATGCTCAAACTTTGTAACGTGTTGTATTTTGTTTTATTTTTCCAGCCTATTCAATTCAGCAAATAGTTACCATGTATCAAGGTCATCAGAAATACTGCAGGTTTAATTTTGTTCCCCAGCATAGGTGGTATGGCTTAATTTTAGTGTGAAAATCAAGAAGGAAAATAATTTGACCATGGGTGGCCATATTTTTGCACACCATTCTACACAATAACCTTTCAGAAGTGTATAGTATTTGTTATTAATATAAAACAGAAGGAGAGAACAATGCATGACTCACAAAACATTACTAGTAACGGGGGAAAAAAACCTGCAAATGTAGATCTTCTGTTTGGGCATACTGCTTGGGTAATGCAGGATCAGAACATCATCCCCCATAATATATAAAGCAGGTTCAAAAAACAAATCATGGAGCACACACCTGTGTATATAAATATAACCAATATGTATAAAGATAGCCAAACTTGTTTCTTTATAGCTAGATAGCAAATGGGCTTTGAACACAGACTTTACTACAAAAATTGTTTCCGTGTTATAGAGATTCCATGGGCACACACCATGTATTAGGTGTCTGTTAAAGTACTAATCCAAGTACACAAATGTATATTGCAGCTCGTCAGTCCTTAGATTTTGTGGCTGCATTACTTTTTTCATGCTGTTTTTCCTTTATTTTCACCTGGTGATCCTTGCAGTAACACACTTCCCGTCCTAAGGCGACAATGCTGTACCATAACTGTTGAGGATAAAGCTGGCCATACACCTTACAATTATCTACAGGTTTTCTGTGGTCAGATGGAAAAGGTGCAACAGATTCCTCCATCTACGCTAAACTGTGTGGCTGGAGTAATCTCCACCTGGGCCAATCTGTTGCACTTTTTCCATCTGACCACAGAAAATCTGCAGATAATTGTAAGGTGTATGGGCACCCTAAGCATTGACACCCTAGCACAGGATTGGAGTTATGCCTATAGAACACCCTCCCCCTCTCCTCAATAACCTAGGGGGGGTGTTGTGTAAATCACAGACGTGAACTAGACAATGCCCAATATGTGTTCTTATACAGGTAAAACTCAAATAATTTGAATATCGTGCAAAAGTTCATTTATTTCACTAATGCAACTTAAAAGGTGAAACTAATATAGGAGATAGACTCATTACATGCAAAGCAAGATAATTCAAGCCGTGATTTGTCATAATTGTGATGATTATGGCTTACAGCTCATGAAAACCCCAAATCCACAATCTCAGAAAATTAGAATATTACATGCAATCAATAAAACAAGGATTTTACATAGAACAATATCGGACCTCTGGAAAGTATAAGCATGCATATGTACTCAGTACTTGGTTTGGGCCCCTTTTGCAGCAATTACTGCCTCAATGCGGCGTGGCATGGAAGCTATCAGCCTGTGGCACTGCTGAGGTGTTATGGAAGACCAGGATGCTTCAATAGCGGCCTTCAGCTCTTCTGCATTGTTCGGTCTCATGTCTCTCATCTTTCTCTTGGCAATGCCCCATAGATTCTCTATGGGGTTCAGGTCAGGCGAGTTTGCTGGCCAATCAAGCACAGTAATCCCACGGTCATTGAACCAGGTTTTGGTGCTTTTGGCAGTGTGGGCGGGTGCCAAGTCCTGCTGGAAAATGAAGTCAGCATCCCCATAGAGCTCGTCTGCGGAAGGAAGCATGAAGTGCTCCAAAATCTCCTGGTAGACGGCTCCGTTGACCCTGGACTTAATTAAGCACAGTGGACCAACACCAGCAGATGACATGGCTCCCCAAATCAACACCAGGCCCGGCGCTACCGCAAGGCAAGTCAGGCGGCCGCCTGAGGGCGCTGCAGGGTGAGGGCGGAAAAAACAGGGCATTTTGACAAGTACTTGTCAAAATGCCCCAATGTTTGCGCTATGTTTTTTTTGGATGTAGCTCAGTGTGAATGGGGTCTTAGATTGCTCTGTACGGATGATGTTCAACCAGAGACAGAGGGGTTGATTTACTAAAGGCAAATAAGCTGTTCACTTTGCAAAGGACATGTGAATGTGATGAAAATTCAATTTGCAAATATTATCCAATCACATATAAGACAAATAATAAAAAAAACACAGTATTTTGCCTGCACATGATGAGATGATGGAGGTCATGAGAGCTTCACCTCTTTCACTAAGCCAAGAGAGCATTCCCTTTCAAAGTGATGCCTATTTAACTTTAGTAAATCAACCTTGGGGTGTCTGAAAGGAAACCGCTTCAGTTGTCAAACGATTAGGATCTGAAACCCAAAACAGTCCTATACCAAGATACTGTATACTAATGCTGAAATTCAGACACCAAAAACGATGATCCGGGGGAAAGGAGAGTGCAGGAATGGGTGAAGGTGCAAAAGACCAGAGAGCAGTTCGAGATTATTAGTTGGAGAGGGACTAACAAAAACAAAGCCACAGCAGAGAAGAGAGAAGCAGAAAGCGTCAAGGAAAAGAAGAGGGGCGAGGCAACATGGCTGTTTGTTCACTCAGAATCGAAACATTCACATAGACTTGGTGAAAAAAACCCAAAACAAGTCTCCTTTTATTAATTATTAGAACAGAATGAAAACAATATACATTACAGAAGAAAAAAAACCACATTATAATTATGTAAACATGTAACACTGTAAAATAACAATTTAAAGAAGTTATATTGGAATAAGAAGTATTTTCCACCCTTTGTTTACCATGGGTGTTAAAAAAGAAAACCAATTAATTGCACATCACTTCAAACTTGCTAAAAAGAAAAAACACATTTCACCAATAGATGTAAAGCATTTGCTAAAAGCCTTTAAACATTTGACATTGCAAGAACAATGTATGTGAATGCAGTATCTGTGTGCCATGGTCTCATACAATCAGAACTGCAGCTGGCATTGTCCTGTATGTAAATGCAGTAACTGTGTGCCATGGTCTCATACAACCAGAACTGCAGCTGGCATTGTCATGTATGTAAATGCAGTAACTGTGTGCCATGGTCTCATACAACCACAACTGCAGCTGGCAATGTCCTGTATGTGAATGAAGTAACTGTGCCATGGCTTTGTACACCCCAGAACCGTGGCTGGCAATGTCCTGAATGTAAATCCATTAACTGTGTGCCATAGCCTTGTACAACCAGACCTGTAGCTGGCAGTGTCCTGTATGTGAATGTAGTAACGTTGTGCCATGGTCGCATACAATCAGAATTGTAGCTAGCAATGTCCAGTATGTGAATGTAGTAAGTGGGAGCCATGGTCTTGAACAACCAGAATTGCAGCAATCACACCCCAGTCCTTGCTTGCAGGTGACATTGCACAGTGTCTGCCGTCACATTACCTTTTTCTACAATTGGGAAAAAAGGCCAATTGTAGAAATGGAGGTGTGGGCTGCAGCATTTAAATCACATTGCAATTGTCAGATATGATCTGTAAAAAGAATGCAGAGACCGCTACTGAGATATTAACTTAAAGCTATGTCAACAGTCTTGCCCAGATGATAAATACAGAATAATAGAAGAGACTAAATACCTTTCCTGGAGAATATACTGCTTCGGCTTCCTCTAGTGCTATGCATTTTTTCACGTAATTGCTACTGAGGGAAAGGATTAGCATTCAGATTAGATGACCCTCATCCAGCAGAAGTCACATGACCAAATGCCTAGACATTTGTTTATGTTGCCGTGGCTGGATGGGGTCAAGAACAACTTTTTCCCCAGGAAAGACAAGTATTTTAGTCTGTTACACTTTAAGCATCTATCCCAGAATTCTGTGAACAAAGCTTCAATCTGACATGTAAGTATAGTCCAGCTTGAAAACAAGACATTCTGCCGATTGCTATGGCCAATTTAGTTTTTTTGTTTTTAATTCACTCCTGTAACACAGTAAAACCTAAAACTTTACATCAAATTTTAAAATATATAATTTACCAACTTTAAAATCTGATAAAATACTTCTTGAAATATATACATTCAGTGTGAAAATAGTCAGAACAGCTACATTCAGAAATATTTGCATAAATAAAAAAATTATTCTTTGTACATTTTAACACTCGTATAAAAAAAATGGAAAGATCGCTACATGCTGGTTACTGCGTAGTGTTGGAGTCCATTTCACTACTTGATGTTAACGGAGAGTCATTTCTCAAGGCTTCCCTCGCCTTTATTCGGGCACATTTTGGGCACTCGCCTGTCTTGAAGCATTGCTTGTGATAGCATGCCTTGCAAACTAGATTACAAAGACAAGAAATGGTACAAATGTAAATGGCTAGAATTTGGGACAAGCAGCAATCACTAAAAACCACTCACAGCCAATCTACTCTAAATGCAATAAAGCGTTGGAGAACTAAAATATAATTGGTCATTAAGGGTAAGCATATCTGCCGCTATTAAACAAGAGTTTCTTCAGCCTAGTATGGCAGATTGAAGGGTATTGTATTTTCTAAGGGACTCCAAGAATGTCAACACAATACACAGTTCTAGCGATTTGGGTTATTATTCTAAATAAACATATTGTATTCATTATGGATCGTAAGGCAAAGTCACATTTTCCTATAGGGCTTCTTCCCCACACATCTGTCTTTCAACTACACATTTTTTGTATCCAGACTGAGGCCCCTTTCACACGGGCTGATCAGAAGAGGATACATGCATGGATCCACGCAGTACGGAGCAGATGTCACTTCTGTGACACCCGTGTTCGTACAGTTTTTCCTCCATCTTCTGAGGACAAAACTGTAAGTCCCAGACCCCATGTCTGTCTTTGGGGAATTGGATGTAAACAGAGATGTGTCTATTTACATCAGATTACCCCAATCCAGCGCGATCAGGTCCGGCGAAGCAGATCTCTGATCGGTTTGTTTTTCCGGACCCAGCCGGAGTCAGGGGTAACCAGATGTAAACAGACGCCCGTCCATTTACACGTGGCTGCCCATAGACAAATTTAATCTGTCAGGTTTTCAGGCGGACCCGATCAGACGGGCCGCGTGAAAGGGGCCTTATTTAGCTTTCATACCTCATGTTAAATATACTATATTCAACAAACCGCTATTTGCTTCTTTTCTGGTATGTGCAAATGTTTATTACATAACTATTAACAGTACATAATAAACATTGCAAATATTCTCTGCATGAGTACTACTGGCAAGCGGGGGCCTGCAATAGCCACTTGCTGCTCCTAATACAATCAATGGGAAAGCAGTGGCAGTGACAGCTCTTTTACACCAGGGTTTCAATGTAGACTATATACGTCTGGCAGAACTGAGGCACAACGGCAGCCAAAATAATTTTTTTGCAGATGTATAGAAACAAGTACACAAGAACCTGGTCAGGTTTTTACTGCATCCCCAACACCTCCCCCCCTTCCTTATTGGAAGATATCCCCTCAGATTCTGTCCAAGAGATATAACTAAAAGGTTAGAGTAAATCTCCCCTTCGACTACTATCCATGGAACAGATGCCTCCTTGTGGCAACCGCACATTTTAGGTTTCCCCTCACTTTCAGCGACAATGGTTACAGTGACAAATCAAAAAGGGTGATCTACCCATTGTGAACAGAGACAGCAATAAAAATCTGACAGGGGTAAATGGCCCTTTCCCGACAACGGCAATGGCCCTTCCCACTCTGTCCAAAACTAGAAAAAAACGGTTTAAAGCTCTCCAGCTGTGTTATACAGAAATGCTTCCAGAAACAGACATCAATTCAGCACATCACTCTAAACAAGAAGCCTGAATATATGTACAGTATACACACCTTCACATCTTCTACAGATCTCTGTCTGGAATGGAAAGATCACATCCACATGGTGGCAAAATTCACATATAAACCCCTTGGCTTGGCACAACTGAAAAACAAAATACATGTTGCAGATTTTAAAATAAAAAAACACGAATAATACCTCTGGAAAACTAACCATGGAGTCTAATCCTGACAGTTATTAAGTTACACAGCATAACAAAGATCAGACCAATTACGGGAAAACAGGCAGATAAATACAGATCATCCTAGATACGGATTTATAATGAAAAACTTCCTCAGCTTCAACCAAAAACTGGTATTTCAGTTAACAGTTGTTGATGGAAGTTGAAGATATCCAAGGGATTTTACTGCAAGTTATGTACACCAGAATTCCAAGTCCGGCCTAACAGCTCTGGCTATTAAAGTCAAATGTTGGTGTCACTCTCATAATGGATTCCAGCTTAATGAGGGGGGGAAAAAAAGCCCTGAAGAACTATGTTCACCTTTTGAGACATAACACTGCTCAAAGCCTTATAAACTAGTGGTTGCAATACTAACATCTACCAGCAGGTGGTGCTGTAAGCATAATGTGAAACACGCCAGGTAAAAATGTACTGGAACTAAAAGGAGTACCTCTCAAGACTTCATGCTTCCTAACAGTCTCCAAAGACAGGGACATTGTAGTTTGTACTGCAAACCCCAGCAATGCAACTAAACATGTATACAGAATGAACCCATGCTAAAATGTACAACCTTTAGCACAGTAATTACAGCAACAGTTATTTAGTTAAAGAGTGCACTGTGCGTGTCATTTACCATTACAATTCAACGATAGTTCTTAATACAATATAACAAAAAACTGCCATAAAATATAATTTCCTCTTTGCAGAAATCAGTTATTGTACTTGTATTAATGGGTGATTGTACTCAGTAATCCCTGCTTACAAAGACACATTGAGGGGGGCTTATCAAAACTGGAGCAGACAAAATCTGGAACAGCTCTGCATGGCAACCAATCAGCTTCTCTCTTCAGTTAAGGTTTGGAGAGACTTATCGGTTGCCATGCACAGCTGCTCCAGATTTTGTCTGCTCTAGTTTTGATAAATTCCCCTCATTATGATTTTGCTGGCACCTCTTCTGTGGACTGTGCAACAGAGAAGATCAGCGTTGGTGCTGACAAAAGCTTAAAGACTTGGAGAACTGAAACACACTGCAATCAGCATGGACATATTGTCCACACAGTAACAGGAGGAATCTACACGGGTTCTAGCTAGCAGGAGAACCAACAGAAATGTATAGCTAATAAGCCAAGAGTGTATCTACTGTTTTCCTAATACAGTTAATTTTCCTATAAAACAGAGGCTGAAAGCTCCAGGCAATGGCCTTAGTCCCTTCTGCTTCCATGTTTCAGACATCAGCCCATTGAATATTACCAATGTACGACTGCCGCAACATTTCCATCGTTTTGGTTAGGGGTTGACTTGAATGTACCCAACATACACTATAGACTGTTATCTTATATATTTGAGCAAATTATTACAAACACAGAAAAATTGTGGTTTAACTGATGTGTTAAGTATTCAGACTCAAATTTAAAAAAGTAGCATTGACCCTACAAATCTTCCAGCATGCCACAAACGTGTTTTTCAGAGAAATGCGACCTGGAAAGAGATTCAAACTGCCTCCGACTGAAAACTAGGCAATGCTTTGCATCTACACAAGTGTAACTAGAAGAAATGTTTTCTGCAAATGTTTCTGTTATTGTAAGTTGATCTTCGTAAAATCACCAGGTACACCACTACTTCATGTAAAACAGGATTTTGTGAGGGATGAGGAACTAGACATAATAAAGAGGACTTTGTGCAACAGGACAGTTCGAGAACTCTAAATAACAAAACATTCACTCGAGGGTTATCAAGAGCCATTGCTTCCAGCGCAGCCCCAACGCAAGATAAGGCAATTTGCCTTGTCACGGATTGGCACCATTCACACCACTGCATTACGATAGGAACGCGGTGGGGTACGCTGGAAAAACAAAAGTAGCGCGTGCCCTATTTTTTTTTAGTGCAGCAAGATGTGATGTGCAACAATTGCCTCACACTCTGCTGTGCCCAGAGAACTGAATGCTGAAGAGAAAAATAAAAAAAATGTTCGACAATTGACTCACCTTTCCCATGACAAATAGGCAAGGGCAACATCATCCTTTTTCCTCTTGCCACTTTTAATCACCAGTGCCATCCTCGATAATGTTGTCAAGAGCTATTCTTAATAGACGCTTTCCCCCGAAGATCATGTGGATCAAACAAGGGTTCTGGAGTCTAGCACTTTAACCAAAGTGCCCCACACAAATGCATGGCCATGAGATGGATAGCTTCCTGAAATTCAGTGCTACAGCCATTTGATCCATGAATTCTATATAAGTGAGGGATCAAGCACAGCAGTGGGTAGATCACTTAAAAGGAGAATTATGAAGCAAGCGATTTTCACTCAGCCTCATAATCAGAGCCAACCTGTGACATTGAAACTGTCACAGGTCGACTCAGTAGATCGGGAACACATACTGGCGCTCGCTCACTTCTCGATCTATCCCTGCAGAGAGCCGCGACTGTCACTCACGGCCCATCTTAACCAGCCAGACATGGTCCTACAAAGTAAGGTCACAGTCAAAAGAGGCTGAAAAGGACACTAGCAAAAAACAAAGATCTTGAGAAGGACTTATCTGTTGCGTCCATTCTCTACTGCAATATGATGCAAAAAGGTAGGCATAAGGCAGGATACTGCTGGATCCACAAAGGAAATAGACCACTTCTACCTCAACATTTCGACACAAAATCCTTACCAAAAATGGATGCAAGGTGAATAAGCATTTGAGGGGAGCAAACCACCTCTTGGGGTGCTTTCAATCTCTGTAAAGAAATCATTTTGGTTCTCAATTTTGTTGCTCCTAATGTTTGGAGCCGTCTCTTTCTGTGAAGGGTTGGAAAAGTGGGTGCAAAGGGAAGGTCTTTGTGGCCTTGGGAGTTTTAAAAGACCCAAGACTTAAAACAGTACTGGTAGAAGCAACAGGCTGATCCTTCTTTATCACAGTAGGATGCACTGCATCAAAAAGAGCCAAAAAACAGTATCCTTTATTTGGGATTAATACAAAAGGACTAACACCTCAGGAGTAAGCACATTAGTCAAGGAATGGAGTGTCTCAAATCAGACAGATTATCTGCAGTCAATGATTTGAAAGCCGCTAAGATGGCGGCCAAATCAGACTCAAAAATTAGACTCTGCAGGGGAGGGCGCAGGAATGCACTTGGGGCTCCTGCGATCTGAGTCGGCAAATAACTGGGTGATTTAGGTCAAAGTCACAGGACTCAGAGGATGGAACAGACTAAGATCAGAGGAAAATAGGATTCCATGCTGCAGATATTGGCACTGTCTGACAAACTGTAAATTGTGTGGAGAGAATGGGAGAGTAGTACTGATCATGTGCCACCCTCTTTTTCCCCATAATTTGCAATTGTATACAAGAAAAGAAAAGCGGGGCTTTAAAAGTGTCCAAACCATACAAGACGTCCATCAAACATACATGGTTTTGTATAAACGTATATTTAATACATACATAAAGACTTGGTTACAATTAAAATGTCATTGACATGATACAATGTTACATTGAAATCAAACTACCTCCTTTTGGTGCCCATACATGTGTATATATATATATATATAATTCATTAGTATAACATGGACTCCTTGAGTCCTGATTTCTGTAATAGTTGTATGATCCACTGTGGGCCCCATCTCCGACGCGTTTCGCAGCTGTATGTGCTTCCTCAGGGAGGTTGGAGGTATTTTCATGTTCACAAAGATGGCTGGATCTTTGGCCCCACATGCTGTCTCGCAATCACCAAACAGGTGAACAGGTGGGAGGTAACCGGGGATAAACAGGACTATTGCAGAAAATCCCATCGTCTGTGTTATCCAGGATCAGCAGTCTATGTTTTCTTTTCTTGTATACAATTCTAATTGGGGGTGTGGTGCCCATCCCTAATGGTTCAATTTAATTCCTATGCTTTAAACCCATAATTTGCAAGTTGGTAACAAAAATGGTCAGATTAAATCTTATGTCTAGATTAAGCAGCTAGAGATGAACAGATCAAAGTTCCATGTAGCTCTTTGCAAGCAACAGCAGCAGAAGATACATCGTCGACAGTGTATGGTGGGAAAGAGAGCATGTGACTGCTCCCAGCGGATGATGTCAGCGCTTAATCCCACAGAATTAACTCGGCAGGAACAGGGAATATTGGTGCCCAGCGATCTAAGTAAATAAGGTAGTTCTCAGTGCCTCGTGTCTTCAGAGACGGGGCAAGGCCAACAACCCTGGACTTTGAAAGCATTCTGCAGTTCCTTGAACTTTTTCTGGAAAGCACCCTACATGGAGCCCAGTGCCTTAAGGTCACTTCCAGGGTAATCCTTCAACATCCAATCCAGCGGAAAACCATCAAGCTGAAATTAAAGAGGCAAAGCTCCAGCAGCAAGAAAATAAGGTACTAGCCAAAAAGGCTATTTTTTCACACAGCAGTGCTGAAGAAAAGATGTAAATTCTCCAAAAACAGCATAAATCTGAGGCATGCTTGTAGCAGGGAGCTAGCCTAGTTTTGTTTGCCAGTGTCTAGTCCTCCTTCAGGCGACAGTATGACCCTGTATGAATATGCACCCTACCCTACATAAATATATGATATTCCTTTTTACATCAAGTAGTGGCACCCAATTTTTACAGAAGTTCCAGTTTCTGATTTCCTCTTCGTGATAAAACACTGCTCAGGTTTACACATACAGTGAATGAACAGGAGTGACTCCTTCCCTCTCTCTCTCTTTGAATGACAATGAGGGCATAACTGTCTCGGGTATTTACCATGCATACCACTATGGGAATCATAAGACACTGTCTGATTCAGAGATATCGAATATCCATTTACCTCACATTTGTCCACATGAGCCACAGCAGTGGCTAGCAGTTCCCGAAGTGGCAACAAGAGGGATTTTTGCTTAACTTTGTAGAGGTCACTTAATGTGAAGAGATGTAGCTCTTTTGTCAGGTGAGGGGGCACCTCTTCAAAGGCCTTTATAACCCTGTTTTGGAGAATTCAAAAATACATTTTGTAAAAAATCTTACAGCAATAATACAAACGTCAATATATTTAATAGCATTATTCAGAGAATACTAAGCCTCTATCATCTCCCAGCCCATGAATGAGATTACAGTCCTAACTCCTGACTTCCAACCACATACCACAGAGCAAATATAGTCAGATGTCAGTGAACCAACCCTGTGCTATAGGGAAAAGTGGGAGTATAGACCACTTCCACATGGACACTGCCCTAGACATTAATCCTGCAAACCATGCTGCAAGGCAGCTTCATTAACCACTGTCTGTAAATATCAAAATCAACAATGACAAGAAAGCTATTCTTATTCTGCCAAAGCTTAGTTTACATTAAAAAAAATACAAAAAAAGGAAGCAAGAATTGACTTTTATAAACAACATTGCTTCACGACATAAGCTGCCAACGGAATGTGAAAACAGAAGTTGGGATATATTAGGAAGTGGTCCATGACTGGCTGTAGGAAGTCGTTCCACAGAAGAAAAAAAAATGAAAAAGCAAAATCTGTGCATGTTGTTGTCCCCACTGACCTAGAGGAATGGCAATTATACTAACTGGTATGAGTTGTTAAAGGAATGGAAGTTACAATAAACACATTGAAAAGAGTATAAAAACACAAACAAAAACTAGGGATGCACCCAAATTTTGGCCGCCGAAACATATCGGCTGAATATTGCCATTTTTTGGTTGAAATTGCGGTGCATGCCTTGTTTCTCTCCTCCCCGCTGGACACTGCTCTAAGTCCCCTCTGACAGCACAGCATCCATCAGGGAGGAGAGAAACTGTCACAGGAGGCTGAGGGGTGTGGGAGAGGAGAGCGGTGTGAGCGGGCGGCATCTCTCCTCCTCCCACCCCGCTCATCCTCCTGTGACAGATTAGGAGAGCTGCAGTGTAGGGGAGGAGACAGCTGTTAGAGGAGGCCGTGCCGGTGGTGCGGGGGAGGAATCAGCTGTCAGAAGAGATTGAGCTCTCCTCCCCGTACCACTCGCTCAGCCTCCTGTGACAGCGAGTCAGGATGGAGAGCGGGTACAAGCACTCAGCAATCGCTGAGTGTTTGTAAATAATTGGAGGACATAATAAACATGCTATGAATGAATGTGAAGTGATCTACATCACTTCCTGTTCATTCTTGATTGTGGACATGGTAAACATACTATCTCCACAAGTTATGAATTAACAGGAACACTCAGTATAGAGGATTTCTGTTAATTTATAAACAGGGGCTGCAGAAAAAGAGATTGAGAACACAGAGCCCTCGATCTCTTTCCATTTTAAAAGGGAAATATCAGGAGGTCTGTTTAGACCCCCAATATTTCCCCGAAGCCCCCAACAGTAAAGTAAAAAAATTAAAATATTTAATAAAAAAAAAAAATATTTGAAAAAAAAAACAAAAAACGTTGAAAAAGGTTAGGAAAAAAAATAAATTTGGTTTCGGGCTTGACATTTAAAAAAAATTTCGGTTTTGAAAAGTTAATTCCGGTGCACCTCAAAAACAAAAACGATAGCTACATTTCACACAACTCTCTTTTTTCACCCATTTGGGGACAACTGATGTTTAGTTACTATGAGATATTCCACATTGTTCTATTGCCATCTTCCTTGCCTCCAGAATAGGATTGATATCTCATTATTATCCTTACCCATCTGCAAAACGACACGTTGCCACCAATTTCTTGATGTGAATTAACTGCTCTTGAACTTCCTGAAAAAGAAAAACAATGTTCATACGTTAACAAAGTAGCTTTACCAGCAAATACCAACATCAGTAATGATGACATTCCAAGTTTTTTTTTAGTTTTTTTTTTTAAAAGGAACATATTATGTATATATTTTCTTTATCTGGAGGACTTTAAAAGATGATAGGAGTTTCTTATATACTGGTAGCCAGAAATTGGTACACTTGAGTCTGTCTTTCACTACTGCTGCTGAATTATTTTACTGCTATTCTGTGAATAGCCTAGGTAATCTGAGCAATTGCTATTCACAACACACAGGGAAAACCCCCAAACCAAGAACCCTGTAAAAAATGATCACACATTTTACACAAAGATTTTATACAAGTCATGAAAAATTATTTTAAAAAACTGTATGTAACTATCCAAAAAAATAAAATAATAAACCAGATAGTGATAGTTTCTTCATGCTTCAGCAGGAAGCTTAGAGACAATAAGTAATATCTGGAGTAAATAGGATCTCGGAGTGTGTGATTTGCTGCTGTACCTTACTGTTCATGTGGTACAATATAGGTTTATCCTATCTGTAGTGCAGCTCTACCCATTGTGGACTTCTCTGTGCTGCACTGCTTGCCTTCAGAAATCTTTCCAGTCCTGTACAGTGCTATCCATCCATCTTGGATTTTAAATACTTCCATGGAAAGCCTGTTAACATGCTGACCGAGGACAGCACATGATGTGATGGACTCTGCGGTTCCTCTCAGGGCACACAGTGAAGATCTTTGGTAAAGCTGCAATACTGAATACAACATTCATCTTGAAAAACTCAGGAACCAGGGGCCACAATGAACGATGTACTTTTATTTAGGACAATTCCTACACTCCTAGAAATGCAATGCTGGGTGGGAGAAAAAGACATGCAGTGTGCTTGTGTTACACAGTAGTGGACCCTTAGCAGATTTCTCACCCATCTGTTCTCAGCTCTCTTCTATATGCAGATTATAGGAGTTCCATTTGCATGTAATGCTTCTGCTTTGCCAAATAATTCTTTCATTTGTGATTACTGAGAACATTAAAAAAGGTAGATCTAAGCACTGTATATCAAACATTTTATTAAAAATAAAATATTGTTTTCACTTTTTTCTATCCTTTGTTGTATTTCAGTGCTTTGGGTCTCATGCAGCCTATTTGCAGCCACTTTGGGTCGATATACATGTAATCCAGCCATGGATGCATGGCATTTCTAAGGAAGGGTTTCCTGCTGGGGATAACAGTGAAACAAGTCAGAGTTACTTACATGGATCAAGTATAGAGTCACAGA